TATATATATATATATATATATATATATATATATATATATATATATATATATATCAGGTCTATGGGATAAGTATAGTGCAGTCTTCCCCAATGTCTGGGCAGCCACTGCATTCAAAGGCGCTACTGGTTCTGCACAACATATACCTATAATTCGACATCATATAAGCAATCATGAAAAATGGCTAGAGGAACTGGGAGCCCATGTAAGTAAAGTGCACGAGTTTCGGGGTACAGCATTCACTGGTTGGTCAAGGTAACATACATACAATAATCAGATTTAAATAAATTATTCAGAAATTTTAGAAATGTTCCAAAATATGCCTCATTGATTAATTGAAATTTTAGGTATGATCACTATGCTACAATGTGTGAACTACTACCTACGGCGATACCATCATTAGCTTTGTGTCTGAAAATTTGGCTACACGGTTATACAGAGCAGACGCATACACAGGTCGCCAAAAGTTTGGGATATATCGATTATCCGTTGCATATAACACCACAGCCTAGACCAGTGCCGATACCTAGTAATCTGCTTTTTCCGGGATGGCAGGTAGCTGTGGGTATGGAATGGTTTCTCAATTTCAAGACAAAGTTTCATAATATCGTCTCCAATGATCAGTAAGTGTAAAAGTAGCTCAACATATTTAATAGAAGCCTTTATGAGTTTCTTTCTTTAATTGTTTTACTATAAAGAAAACTATTATTATATAAAATAATTGTCTTTGGTAGAATTATGACATGGATGAATCCATGGCAAGTGGCGAATAATTATACAAATCCTATGCAATTGGAAAATTTGATACCTGCTTTTACAGAGTAAGTATTTTACAATAAGATAAATGTTCAACATATATTTCGTGTTTGAAATTGTGTGATTGATTTGATTTAAAATTTGAATTGAATTGATTTTAAATTTCATGAGAAATATCATCATTAATATAATTGTTTTCCATCAATTATGGAATAACTTATAAATGTCTTGTGGTATGCATGTAGGTTATTATTGGAATTGTCTTCCTTGGAGGGTTATCTGCGAGTTCAAATGGAAGCAATTTTCTTTTCATCGATGATCGAGGAATGGATTGGTACCAATATACAGCCAATGAAGAGAAAATTAACGAAGTTGAAACAAACTACTGAGAATCAGCTGAAGCAAAATAGTCGTATGTAGTGCTTTTCGTTTAAGAAATCGAGGAACAATCTAGTATCGGCGAACATATAAAAATCAAAACGTATCAAATCGTCGATATTAGTAATTTGAAATGATACAATCACCAACAATTCCACCAAAAAAGATTGTAATAATTGTTTAGTAACAATTAGACGATTGACTACATTTCTTGGATGTAGAGAAAAATTATTTTTGTATATGTAGTAAGTGGTGTTATATATATATATATATATATATATATATATATATATATATACACATATACATACATACATACATACATACATACATACATACATACATACATACATACATGCATACATCATACATACATATATACACACACACACATACAATGTTATAACAGTAATTAAAACGGTCTATTAACCTTTTAGCGTTAACCTATTTTTAAAGAAGTCACTGGAAAATGCAAAAAAAAGATATATAGTTTCCTAAGAAGAATGCTTTATTATTTTAATACTGGATACAGAAAGAAAGAAAGTTTTACCGATACGAGAGGTGTTCTGTGATACTTGGCTATGAAAGGATAACTATGGTTCTCAGTTACAAGGGTTATTAATGACGATCAAAAAATAATCAAGATTTGATCTCAGTAGATTTTCCTATTAAGTACAAACATAAAATTTCAATAAAATCTTTTTTATTAGACAACTAAGATTGTGATTATATATACATATAGTAGATTTAAAATATGAAAAGATTATATTGCAAAGTTAAAACTTGTAAATTAAGTTGTATTGTTACAGCCTATTTTTATGTAAGTGCTTGATATGTAACTCGTACATCTATATATTAATGAATATCATTGATAACATATTAGACATTCATAAATATGTTTCATATTTTGTCATAGAATTAAACTTTTGGCTATATTGCACTTAACCAAATATTCAATGTGATGTATTCTACATATATTCCTTACATGTGACGGTTCTTAATTTGCTTTCTAGTGATGAATGGTATTATATCAATCTGTATATGTGTGCATGTGTACACGCGGTGCGCGCGCGCGTGCGCGTGTACAAATATAACAATATTTCTCTTTAATGCATTATTATATGAAAAACTAATTTGAAGTAAACATGTAGGGTAGAATAATATAGTTATGAGGATAATTATAATAATTATGAATAAATCAGATCATATATCGTATGTTTATATGTCTTCTGCTTGCATTCTTATTTAATGCTTTCGATATCACGGGATGTCAACGTGTAAGAGAGCGTATCATCTCTCGTATGTTTGTACAATATCATGTAACCTATGAGCTGTCAGTTCACATTACCATGTCAAAAATTAAAGAACGCGACGAGCAAGAGGCTTTAAAATTGGACGAATACTATAAGCGAACTTTGTTGAACGTTAGACCATACATATCGAATTTAAAATCTTTGGAAGAAGCAAATTTGTGCAAGATTTGGTTCGATAAACTGAATGCTACTATTTCGCAGCGTAATTTGAGAAATGAATATTTATTAGAGCTTTCGCGCCAGCTAAAAGCAGGCACACTCGAAGGAATATTCAAGACTCAACCTCCCAATGACTTATTAATACCGTTACCATCGTCCCGTCATGCGGTATTTCGTTATTCTTCTAACTTTTTTTTTAAACCACAAAATTGTTCATCTCAAAAATATTTCAAAAGTATATGATATATATATATATATATATATATATATATATATATATATATATAAACTATGTGTATATGTGCTTATATGTGGCATAGTATATGAAAGGAAATCATCAATTATTATTTAAAATGATCTATAATAGATATTTTAGTCATATGCTTTTTTACATTATTCTTCAATTTTCACTTTTATTAGGTTTACATAAGTTCATCTTTGAGTAGTGGATTGTCTGGTCATGACAGAAACTATCATAATTGCTTCATGCTAAATAGGAAATCAAGCCAAAAAAACTATCCACAAAACAGAATGAGATGTCATGATTCTGAATCGACAACTTGTACGACTCCACAAGTATATTGTAATAATGAAACTATTATAGAACGGAATCATCTAAAACTTTACAAACATCGTATCGATATGTTAACTGTCGCGCTCGAGAATTTTCGGATTCAAAATGAGCAATTAAAACAAGAATTAGATAAGTATCGAGAAAATACAGTGGACAACGAAGTGTTTCCATTGCGAAATCATGTTAAAGAGCTAACGAGCCAGCAACAAAGTCAAAACTTTACATGGAAAATTAAATCGCTTAAGAAAACTATTGCGAAGCTGAGAAAATTAAACAGCACCATAGAGAACGTTTACGAAAAAAAATTACAGCGTATCGTCAAAGTATTGGAAGATATTTTACTGGAAAACATTATATCATTTTTTCTTTTTTTATACATTATTGGCAGTTTTATAATTCATAATTTATATATACGACGTTACAGAATAAGAATCTAGAAATCAAAGTTTTGCAACTGCAATTCCAAGAACGAGCAAGCGATATATTTTTGTCTCTATGCTCAGAAAAACAGAATGAGTTACACAACTTGGTATCATCTTTAGAGAAAAGATACAAGACACTCTTAACAAATGCTGACGCTGCCATTGAAAGCCAACGAGAAGAGTACATTACGGTATTCTTCATTTATAAAATAATTTCTGTTGTGCATTTTCTGTTACAACTACACAATTTTTAATGTTATAAGTTCTTTTTTAAATGAAATGTATAAGGATTTAGGAATCCAACGATCTCTTTCTGTTTTTTATGTATAAATTTATTGCCGCATTTTTAGACATAGAAATAATTAGCACACATTCATAACTAATATATGATATTTTCTTAGAAAATAGCCGCACTTGAAGCTGAACTGTGCCATTTGAGAAATAATCTTCGATCTAAATCCGAATACATGTGACTGCGAATGACATCCTAATATTTTATTATAATTCTACTTATTACTATTGACTAATAAATGATTGTATAATTGCGTTAAAATTTTTACTATCTATAGTAAGGAAAATACATTTAACATCAAAGTAATTGATTCTGCGAGAAAAACAAGAAGCGAACATCAAGTTATTTGAAATACAACAGAAACAGCGGGTGAAATCGTGAGGTAACATTCGGACTCTTATGGTAAAACAGGCTAAGAGTTTGGAGTTCGAACTGCATTAGATGACATATATATTGGTCGCCATGGCAACTGTATCAACATGATGGAATATATTGTAAACTCAAGCCGTTTATGGCTATGAGAAGGATACTTGTCCAGTATATGAGAAGGATACTTGTTAATTAAGTTGTATATTAATTAAATATGTAATACAAATTGTGTAGTGTAATATGACAAGTGAACAATGAGTCTGTACTTTGACATACGCGTACAGAACCCTGAAACTGCTTCGATAAGCACATTTGTCGCTTGGCACAATAATTATCCCTTATTAGCTGTCGCTGCATATTCCCAAGATAAAGGTGGTTTTGTAACTATTTATGACGATCAAGGTGAACCTGTGCAGGATGTCGAATCGACAGGACATGCTGTGGCACAAGTCACTGCTCTTGGATGGCATCCAGAAAGGACATGGTTGGCGGCAGGATGGGAGAGCGGAGAGTTGCGAGTGAGTGTTTCTTTGTGAAGTTAAAAATTAAAATTGTCTTTGTAAAATGTAAAATAACAAGAATTTGTGAAATTATTTCCAGATATGGCCAGGAGATACTGGAAGCCAAGAATTCAATATTATTGTATCTCCCCATCGAGATCCTATTACAATTCTTCAATGGAGTCAATTTGGTGGTCGCTTGGTGTCTGCAGATGCTGGTGGATCTATAGTTGGCTGGAAAATAGACTCCAGAGGACAGCTCCTTATGACATTTCATCATGAATTAAAGGAGTCTTTTACACAAATTACATTTAAGACAGCTCCTCCAAAGCCAATGATTGACATTAGGTCAATATCTATGATTTATTTAAATAAATAACTTAAGATTAACATTCAATTTTTTATTTATTTTGATTGTGTTCTATTTCAAATATCATTTGAACTAAAGCTTCTATAAGTTTATTGATCTAAAAATATATATATCTAAGAAATAAGTATATCCAAAAGATGGGAAAGAATGTTTTAAATTAGTGTTGTAGAGGATATTTAGTTTGATACTTAGCAGTTAAAATTATAAACATTTAACAATTTAATTTTTCTTAGTTATTTAATTAGGATATCTGATTCTGGTCAATTGATTATTTACAGTGGTTTAGCAAAAGCAGCAGTAGCTGGCGATGAACGAGCTTTGGATCTATTTAGTTCCTGGCGGCCAAGAACCGCCGCACCAATGGCAGTTCCGACACAACGTGACAATCATGCGTTCTACATCAGCACTGCAAATGGTACCATATACTTTGTAGATGTTCAAGGGCAATGCAAGGAAGTATTCAGTACTGATGGTGCGGGACTATATTGCCTGTTGCATCATCAAACTAGAGATTCGATTATTGTCATGACAGAGGGATTAAATATCGGGCACTTTCAAGCAGATGCAATTAGCGGGGAACTTATTGAGTTGACGAAGGTATTGATAAAAATACCATGAGTTGCTTGTCTAAGTCCATAGAATCAATCGGTGTGTGATCGGTGTGCAACCTTATATTATTTATGTGTGAAATCTTGTTTTAGGTAAAACTGAGCGGCAGAAGCGATACAACGCGCACCAACGCCACTCTATGCTGGATCAGTGGCAACACCTTGGCTGTACTTACAGGTGAACTCGCTGTACGTTGCTGGGATCTTCACACAGGTGACACGTACGTTCTGTCACCTCCAGACCACTTATCCAGTGGAAATATCGCCACTCCTCAAGAAATGTGCACCAGTTTGGCGTTCTGCAAGGCCAATGGTAACATCTACTTTGAGATAATTGTCAGTAATAAAGGAAGTTACTGTGATATATGTTCCAAAACTTCCAAAGCAGGACTCGCGAAATACAATTAGTTGTGCAATATCGTAGTTACACGTTTAGTTAATATCGTAGTTAACACCATCGTTGAAGCAAATGTCGAGACAAGCTAAATAACATTTTGCATCTTTAGACACTTTGGCTGCCGGCACCAACTTGGGAACGATTTATTTATGGAAGCGGAAAAACGTGTCCGAGTGCGATGAAAACGCCTGGCCGAGTATTCCGGAGTCCTGTTCGATCCACGGCACAGTAAAGCAATTAATGTGGGGCACCAGCTTATCGCGGAATTCTCTTTTGGCTGTGAATTGCATCACCAATGTTTTCATTCTACATCAGCAGCCAATGTGTGCTGTGTATAACGACGGTGTTTGCGCTAGTCAACTGACTCCCACACAGATTCTGCTCGAGCTGGACGAACAGACTTACATGCTGAAGACGGAGATTCAAGTGCAGGTCGTCGCAGTAACGAGGGAATACGTCGCCGTCTCGTCCGGCAGGCAAATAATCGTGAACCGTATCAACCGAGGTGCCAATTTGAGTACGACTTCATTAGCGACCTTCAGCTGCGACACGGAAAAGATGTTGATCTACGAGCACACGTTGATCGTGTTGACTCCGATGATCATTCAGCTGCGATCCGTGGAAGGCTCTATCATTCAAACACTTCCCACTCTGCCGGAAGAGGGTGAACCAATTACGATGGAGTTAACAGGTGATTGTCATCTCTGAAACCTGCGGTTTTTCAGAGTTAATAACTTAATAATCTAATATCGAAATATTTATATTATTCGTTAAGTATTAAACTCGCTATTGCCATTGTTCGTAGGGCAATATTTGACCGTGGCGTCGTTAAACGGTATCTTGAAGATTTGGGATTTAGGCAAGCGCGAGGCTAAGCTACATACTCGAGCTATGGCAACGTACGAGGCGATCAGTGATTTTGCCGAGATTATCGAGGCCAGATGTAACGCAGATTGCCACTGCGTTTCCATCACTGTCGCTATGGCGAACCTCATGCCAAGTTCAATTTTATATGTCTGGGATATTGAAAGTGATCAGATTCATGAATTTGACTTCGGAGAGTCGGACGATATCATTGATGACGACACTATGTTGTAAGTAAGAAAACCACAATGACAATACTGCATATCAAAAGCACTTAATTAAATGTTATTTAAAAAATTTAATTAAAATCAATTTTTTTATACATTAAATCGAGTGCATAACGAACTCATTCTTTTACCTAAAATCAACTGTGTATTCCTATATCGCGCATGTGATATTGTAATATGCAGAATATTGAAGTCTAATATCCTCTTTTTCAGAACTGCACAATGCAGGGGAAGATTAGTCACTGCGCACTGCTGGGACGTAGAGGACTCTAGGTTGTTGGTGTGTCGAGCTCAAAGATTGGAAAACCGTGACTCTAAGAACTTCGACAAAGGCGGCAATCAGGTAACGTTCATTAAATTATTGTTTGATCGTCATATATGTATGATTAATAATAATAATTTTCCTTTTCAGATTGCACAAGCGTCTGTGGTGTTGGTATCGTTATTCGCAACGTCAGATCATGGTATTGTTGTGCAAGACGTGAAGCCAATTGCTGATGAGAATTGCCGCTTGTTGGGTGTACAGTCGCCGCATATCGTTATTCTGAATTCTGAAAAAAGTTTGGACAAAACAAGTAAGATAACGCGATTGTTGATGAGGGATTTCGAAGAACTGGGTGACTGCGATTCCGTCACGAAAAAGGCGGTGATGGATTTTAGTTACCATATTAGTGTGGCAAACATGGATGAAGCCTTCAAGGCCATTAAATCTATACAAAATGAAACTGTCTGGAAGAGCTTGGCCAGAATGTGCGTGAAAACGAAGCAACTGAACATGGCTCTGCTTTGCCTGGGTCACATGAAGCAGGCCAGTGCCGCGCGGGCTCTTCGCGAAGCGATGCAGGACGACAGTCTGAGTTTGGAGGCACAAGTGGGAATTCTAGCGGTCGAGCTTGGTCTTCATGTACGTTAAGTATATGATTGAATATGTGTTTCTTGATCATCGTATCCGATAATACTGCTGCAAGTTTATTCAAAGTACATACGTGTGATGTAGACCGATGCGGAACGTCTGTTTCGAGAAGCGAAGCGTCTGGATTTATTGGGACAACTGTTTGAGGCGCGAAACAAATACAAGGAAGCGATTAATTTAGCCAGCAACGAGAACAAGATCCGTGAGAAAACTAGTTACTATAATTACGCTCACGCGCTAGAGCAGCAGGGTAAAGTGGCGGAAGCCATCGACATGTATACGAAAGCCGATTGCCATCGATTCGAAGTGCCACGAATGCTCCTGACAAGACCTCGAGAACTCCTCGCGTATCTCAATAACTCAGAAGAGCCGTAAGTTAAAAAATTAATATATAACTATATTAATCTTACTAATGTCTAAAAAAAATATTAATCTCACATTAATATCTAATGTCACGCAGTGAGATTAAAAATTGGCACGCTCAGTACACCGAGTCGACAGGCGACATGGAGGCGGCCTTACGTCTTTACGAGCAGGCGAAAGATACCCTGTCAATGACAAGGTTGCTGTGTTACTTCGGTCGGGAGGACGAAGTGTCCGAGCTGGTAACCAGAACGAGCCATGCTGCGTCCGCATATCATCTCGCTGCACATTACGAGTCGAAGAACAATGTCTCGCAAGCAATCCATTTCTACACAGTTGCTAAAGCTTATACTAACGCGATTCGATTGTGCAAGGTGAGAAATTCAGTCGCTGTTGGTAAAGGAAGATATTTCATTCCTAAAACAGTTGAGAACTTTGAGGTCATTTGTTCGATTTTAATTTGGTCGAAGAAAGTGCGAGAGAGAATGCATTTCCTTCAAATGCATTCTTGTATTTGCAGGAACACGACATGCTGGAAGAGCTGTGGCCATTGGCTATACTGGCGTCGCGGCATTCGCAAATAGACGTCGCGAAATTCTACGAGGACAACGACCAGTCGGACCGGGCGGTGTTGTTATATCACAAAGCTGGCCTTCTGCACAAAGCTCTAGACGTCGCGTTCAGAACGCGACAATACGGAGCGTTGCAACTGATTATCATGGATGTGAACGCGGACTCTGATCCGGCATTAATACGAAAATGCGCCGATTACTTCATGCAGAACGAGCAGATCGACAAAGCAGTAGATCTGCTCGCTACCGGCAGGAACTATATGGCGGCTTTAGAGCTGATTCAGCAGCATAATATAGCGCTGAGCGAAGAGCTCGCGGAGAAACTGACGGTTGAGAAAGGGAGCAATGACGACGTGGAACATGAACGCTTGAGGATCTCCACGCTTGAGAGAATCGCGGAAATCGCCTTCGATCAGGGCAACTACCATCTCGCGACGAAGAAATTTACGCAGGCCGGCAACAAGCTGCGCGCCATGAAGGCGTTGCTCAAGTCCGGTGATACCGAGAAGATCTGCTTCTTCGCGCAGGTTTCGAGGAACCGCGAAATCTACATCATGGCAGGCAATTATCTACAGTCGTTGGACTGGCAAAATCAACCGGAAGTGCTGAAGAACATCATTAATTTCTACTCGAAGGGAAAAGCGATGGATCTACTGGCGAATTTTTACGTTGCGTGCGCGCAAGTGGAGATCGACGAGTTTCAGAATTACGAGAAGGCGTTGGATGCGCTGAATCAGGCAAGCAGGTGTTTAACTAAGGTAGTGATGCCACGAGACCCGGATGTTCACAAGCAAGCGATGGAGCTGGTCAATAACAGAATGTCAGCAATCAAACGCTATCTAGACATTAAACGGTAATTGCAAAATATGATTTTAAGAGTCGATAATAAAAATTGAGTAACTAAAGGTTCCGCGATATTTTATTTTTGCATTAATGGCGAGGAAAAAGAAGAAGGATCAATTTTAAGATATAATTTATTTATTTGAAAATATAAATTTTGAGATATAATTTATTTTTTACTCTCTTTTGTCGATAAAAGTATCTTTAAAAATGGCATAAGTTTTCTGATTAGCTACTCTCTTTTAGAGTAACTTTTATCGATGGAAGAAAGTTGAGAATAAGAGTCATGAAATATTATTCTTGCATATGCACATCCGAAAGGAGATATATTTTTCATTTGGCAGATTGTTCGACAAAGGCGAGACAGAAACGGCGATGCAGCACGTTCGCCACTTGCTGGATTCTCAAGGGCCGAATTTGGAGCAATCGGTGCGTCGTGGCGACCTGTTCGCAACGATTACGCAGCATTACGCAAATATAGGGGATACTGATAAAGCTTGGGCTACCATCGAAGAGTTGAAACGTTTGGTACCAGGTATCAATTTAAGTTACTACTTTAATGTAAATCTCCTCGAAGCTTTGGGCTACAAAATGAAAGTGCAACGGCAAGACAGTTCCGATAAAGACGATGGGATTGAGGAACTTTTAGGAGAATAAAATTCCATTAAGATCACCACCACAGATTGGAAGAATTTGTAGATAAAATTAGCCTGGTAAATCTAGTGTAACAACAGATTGAATATGTATTCGTTATCTTAATGATCAAGAAATTCCGTCCGTTTATCTGTTATTGTGTGTATAGCAATGTTATATTACAGATATATAGTGCAATATTACAACTTTATAATGATGTTGCGTTGCAATGTTTTGATGCAACAACATTATTGCAATTCTACAACAATATTACAATAAAAATGTATAATTCATTTGCAATATAAAGATGAAATATTTTTGCAATATTTCTGCAATGTTTTAGTATTATATGGAAAAAGTTGGTATATTATAAATGAAAAGAAGACAAAAATATTTCTAAATTTAGCAGACGTTTATTTTTTTTTTTATAAAAGATTTTATAAAATATCCTGTGTTGGATATTACATTATCTTACACTACATAACTTAAAATTTGTTATATTCCAAAAACAAAATGTCTTATAAATATGAGTTTATAAAAATGTAAGAATGTATGTTATAACTGTTATATCATGTAATAAAAAATAAATCTTTCATTTAGAATATTTAATCTATCTAAAAATTAAATGTTACGGTAATTTTATTATATTATTTTATTATATACTTATATGGTGGATGTGTGCAAGGATGAGAAATTTGTTATATATTTACATTACTGCTAAATAGTATATAGCATCATAAAAAGAAAGACAATGATGTTTTCATATAATCTTAAATATTAATAAATATTAAGTATTTGTAATGAATAATGTATAATAAAAGAGTTGTTCTATTCTTATGCACAACACATCTGTTTCATTTATCTTTGCGAATATCTTAAATGATGATCTCCATCTCATTCTGTGTTTTTGTCGTCGATATATCTATATATATGTAATTATACCGGTAAGATAATTTTATCTGTGGTAGATTTTGGCGAGAAGAATAGAGTAGCGCGCGTGTTTTTCTATGTGCCACCAGCTTAAGTGAAACTTTAAATCTTATGATTTTCTTTCATTTCTGACTCTATAGGTTTGTCGAGTTGCTTGTACTTTTCACACTTTTACACCTAATGCCCGTTGCACACTAGTACACTCCAAACAACACAAATTTTCAAAAATACATTCTGAAGACGTTATCAGGACGGAGGGACGCCATCAGAATATTCTTAGGACGTCCTTTGAAAATGTGAATTGTCTGAAAATAGCTAATATCCAATAAGTTTATTCACATTAATTTAATTTTTTACACTTTCACACTTAGTGCACATTAATTCTTTATGGCTTCCGCACACAGGATGCGGTAATGCTTGCCGCGCGACGGAAGTCCGCGCGACAGCCAATCAATATGTTGTTTTTCCGTAAGAGTTAGAAGGTTATTACGGAAAGCAGCATATTGATTGGCTGTCGCGTGAACTTCCGCTGCGCGGCAAGCATTACCGCGTCCTGTGTGCAGGAGTCATTAGAGGTTTTAAAAATGGCGTCATGTTTTCCGTTTGTGTTACGAATGTAAATGCAATTTTGATACACTTTTCACTCTTGCTTGGGATCAAGTGTAAAAAGTGTATCAAAATTGCAATTACACTCGTAACACGAACGGAACTTATGACGTCATTTTTAGACCTCTAAAGAATTAATGTGCACTAAGTGTGAAAGTGTAAAAAGTTCAATTAATGCGAATAAACTTATTAGATATTAGCTATTTTCAGACAGCTTATATCTTCAAAGAACGTCCTAAAAATATTCTGATGACATCCCTCCGTCCTAAAAGCGTCTTCAGAACGTATTTTGGAAAATTTGTATTGTATGAAGTGCATTAGTGTGCAACGGGCATTAAGTGTAAAAGTATGAATAGTACAAGCAACTCGAACAAACCTTATTTGTTATGTAAGTAAAATGTCATTTGCATTTAAGTTGATAAAATATAAGTTAGAAACATATAATGTGTGTATTTAATAAAAGGTGAATTTTCTCGTTAATGTGAAACGAAAGAGAGGATATTTATAATTTGGGGATATCTTATAATTTATGATATTGGAATTCTAGATTAATTTTCGTATGGATATAGAATACGATGAACTTTTAAAATAAATGTTTAAACTCGTTGACATTTTCGTTTTGTTTAACACTATCTTTTGTTTTGAAAAATTGTAACATTATATATGTGGTCCATTCTGCATGTTATTTTTGTCGAGACAGATACATTCCTGTTAAAACCTTGTAATGGATGAGATCATACCACACATACAAGTGACAGTTTTATTTTTTGCAAAAGCACGTGAATTAAGTGGAAGTAAAGAATGCAAAATTCATATTCCAAGAAGATTGTCCACTATTGATCTTTTCCAAAAAATCATCTCTGATTTCAAATTAGAAAGTATTCGCAATCAAATAATATTAGCTGTAAACGAAGAATATATAACTGCAGATATTCTTGAGCTATCAGAGAACGACAGAATTGCAGTAATCCCACCACTTAGTGGAGGTTTGTCCAATAACAAATTAATTATGTGCAATTAATTCTTTATCTATATAATATTTTTCTTCATTTTGCTTAATTCTAAATAATTAAGTCATGAAAATATGATATCATGTGACAAATATAATTAATAATGTATATTTTTTTAGTGTATATAATATGTATTATTTACCTTATTGTATATTTTTTCAGGGTAATCTTTATGATATGGAGGCATCAAAGAATTTTATCAAGTTGCAACAAGAAAAATTGAATGTTGCTGATATTATTAATCTGGTAGTATTTCCTAATTGTGGAGCAGTGTCTAATTTTATTGGGATTACCCGAGATAATTTTGAAAATAAAAAAGTAAAGTGGTATTGCTGAGAATATAAAAATTTAAACATTTATGTTTTCCTCAAATATTTATAAATACTCTTTTTATAGGTGATTAAGTTAGAATATGAAACCTTTGAAGATATGGCTCTAAAAGAGATGAATCATATCTGCGCTAAAATTCGTTTACAATGGAATGTAGAAGGCATTGCTATATATCATCGCATCGGTGAAGTGCCAATATCCGAAGCAAGTGTTGTAATAGCCATTTCCTCCCCTCACAGGGAAGAATCGTTAAAAGCAGTTGAATATGCTATTAATACATTAAAAGCAGTAGTGCCTATTTGGAAGAAAGAAATATATGAAACTGGAGAACCACAATGGAAGCAAAATAAAGAATGTAAATGGAAAGATACTAAATAATCTTTTTACAATTGGTTTTGAACAGGGTTGGGTAAGTTAACTTTTTTCTTTAACTAAGTTAAGTTAAAGTTAATGGCTTTGAAAATTTAACTTAGTTAAGATAAAGTTAACCCATAATGAAATTAATTGAATTAAAAGTTAATAAAAAAAAGTAATTAAAAAGTTAAAAATTAAATTTGTTTTATTTCATGACTTCGGGGTTTCAGTTTTACAAATAACGGAAAAAACAAATATACACTTTATTTGGAAACATGTTTTATTTACAGATACTTATTAAATTTAAGTAATAATGTTTTTTCGAAATTTTTATCGGACATTTTTCGGAATCGAGATCGCTACACAGCCACATTTTGCAAATAGTTGTGCATAAAATTTTATTCAAATATAATAGTCGCGCGTATGCTCTTGTAGCACATCACTCGAGCAAACATATTCGAAGATTATCGAAAATGAGCCTTCCTGCACTGAATAGCCTTTCGACGTCTCGCGACACCTTTATTGCATGGTTAACTGCAAGATAATTGAATTAAAAGTTAATAATTACCGATAAAATGAAACTAAATTAAGTTAAAAGTTAAGTATAAAAATGTAACTAAGTTAAAGCTATTTAACTTAACGTTTAACTTTTTAACTAGTTACTACCCAACCCTGGTTTTTTGTTTTGCATGCAATGTTTTTTGTAATGCATGCAATGATTGTATTTTCTTAATTTGGAATTTGTTATCACTGTTGTTTACTACTAAATATAAGATGTCTAAGTTTTACATTTCCTTCTTTTGTTTGAGATTTTTTCCATTAATTTTGAATGCTAGGACTTCTATCCTCGATTGTTTTATTTTAATTATACTAGGTTGTTATATTTATTGTTTCTTCTTTAGTAGCTAGAGATTTTGTATCTTGACATCTATTATAGCAGACATGCCATATGTGCTTGTCTATAATATGTAATACAAAACTCTAAATATAGAACAAGGATGTGTCCTGAATTTATGTTGAGTAAACTGTTAATCACAGGTTTTTAAAGATATTAAAGTTTGCCTCTATATGTTTCAAAAGTCTGTTATGAACAATTGGTTCAATAGATTTGAATAAATTATATGAAACTAGCTGTAGCATATATTTTTTTTTATAGTAAGTAATAATACACCAGAGGTGGAAAACGTTATTAAGTCTACAACTCGCAAGACAAATAATATTCAAGCAACTGCAAATATAAATGAAGAAATACAAGATAACGTTGTTATTGATCCTAATCACGTACAAATCCAAGTGAGCACCAAAGAATTAAATCGTAGGATAGAATCATTCATTGAAAGAAAACGTCGGCAAATAAATATTATGAATCAGCGAGAGTTTTGCTGTCACAGGTTGGTTTATCATTATCACTGAGATAAATATAATTACATATGTAATCATATTATGTTGAAATGTATAATTAGTTTTATATAATTTCATAATCTATATGGTATATAAGTCATATGACTTCCTATATGTAATTGTTACAATAAATTAACTGCGTATTCTAACTACAAATAATATTCACAGTGAACAGAATGAAGATAATGAAAACTCTTGTGCAAGAGTAGATGCCGTTCTCGTACAGCGCAATGATTCTAAAAGTCATATGAAAGGTAATATATATTATATAATTTTTGTATTTTCACGGATATAGGTTCTTTCATAACTTTATTTTATATATTTTACTCATTTCATGTTAACTCACTTTTCTCACGTACTATTTTATTTTGTAATAAATACATCAATTTACAACAGCTTTCAAAGAAAGATAAAAGTTTTAAGCAAATGTATGTGGCAAGAATTATATGCGTAGAACTTTCTGCTTCAGACGTCATAACTCAAGATTGTTATTGTAGATAACGCTGGGGAGGGGATAGATAAGAAAGTCACTTAATTTCTTTTTCAATCTAGATTATATTAAATTATTGAGACTTTCCTTCCTCAACTGATAATTGTATAATTAATACGGTAGAGAAATTGTATAATTGAAATTTGTAGTTAGAATTTGTGTAATTAATGTTCAAATTGTCGAGTCTCGAAAATTTAGGAATAATTGTGCTTATTTTATGCAAGAGAGCTTAAAGATTTTATAATACATGTTTGCAATTACTTTCAGTTCACCGAGTATTTAACACATGGGGACCTCAAACAGTCAATCACTCACTTTTACACAAAGCAACAAATAGTACAAGTCCCAAGACTGCAAACTCCTTCCCTATATTGGATGACAGAATTTCTGTGACAGAGCGTATATTAGGGATTAATAAACCCGTGCCCAAAGATATTTACGAAAGATTGAAAATTATTGAAGATAAAATATTATATTTAGAAGGAATATCACCAGAATACAAAGAATTTTGGGTATACCATACTTATTTTGCACATTTATTTACTATTATAACGAAAAAAGATAATATTTTATATACATTCTACATGATAGATATGAGACTATGAAAAAAACATGCCCTATTTATCACATATCATAAAAGAAACTAAATTATTTTTTATTGTTCATACATTGTATTTTTTTAATTTTTATATACATAAAATTTTCTAAATTTGTGTAGGTAACGAAAGATATCGATATTTTAAAAGGCAATATCAAATCTACTCAGAAAAAAGTAAGTGTTACATTTAATACACTATATACAATGTGATAATTGTTAAGATTTTGATTTTCAACGACTGTTTTCAGTAATTGTCGATTGTATTAACGTAAATTTCATTAGATTTACTAGTGCAAATCTTAAAGTATGAAGGTAATTCGTTGTTACATTAGTTTGACACCAAAAAATGTCATATTTCAGATATATTCTACGGCAGAATTTGACTCTAAGTTACACAAGCTAGAGGAAAAACGACGAAAAATAAATTAGCGATACTGTAACAATGCACAAACACGTCGGATAATCGATTCATGTAATTCACTTATAATTTCTATAGTTGTAAAAGTAGTAAGTAATAAAAATATATATTTCTGTGACATTGTAATGCATTCATTTTCTTTTGAACTGGTGCGTGTACACCGCGATTTCGTAGCTGCACTTGCGTATTGAGCTTGTCACAACTAGAGAACCTCTATTAGAAAGAATCGCCAACTTGGTCATATAATCACTGGCTGGCTGGCTGGCAGATTTGACATTGCGACGCCAATGTAGAACACATATATACAGGGTGTGCCAAAATTGTGGAAATGGTCGAATATCTCGAAGAAAATCATTTTTTAAGGAAAATATTTCAGACAAAAGTTGTAGGATTTCAAATCTATTTAATAATCGTATTAGTTTAAAGTCAAAACTGATACAGCCATTAAATAGATTTGGAACCCTACAACTTTTGTCTGAAATATTTTCTTAAAAAATGCTTTTCTTCGAAATATTTGACAGTTTCCACAATTTTGGCACACCCTGTATATATAATCATCTGTTCAGCATTGGCGTCGCAATTCGCACGTTTGTCCAATTCGTACGTGTTCTGCCAGCCAGCTGGTCACATGACCAAGTTGGCGATTCTCTCTACTAGAGGTTCTCCAGTCACAACCGTCGAAAGTCGCATGGTGGCGTATAAGTCGTCGCGTGACGTATCTGCAACTTTCACGAGCGACTGTACCCAGGCATTCAGCAGTCGATTGATAGGGGCAGGTAGTGCTCGTTGCGCTTTCGTACGATATGGTTGTGGATAGTGCCGTCGGTTGCGGTTTACTTTCGATCGTGAAATATCATAAAACGAATTAGCTGTTTGCGATGCGCTGTTGGATCACGAATTGCTAGATCAATCTGAAATAAGTCGGTGCGGATTGCGGTAAGTCTCTCGATCGGCAGCAAAACACTGCATGTATTTCTGCTAACAGCACACGCGACGTGTGTCGCGGCGTGACGCGACACGTTACGTTCTCTGTCAATGTGACAGGCGCCTACTAGTCTCTGGGTTGATAGTGTTGCTAACGCGCCCGGTGGCAGTTCGCGAGCAGCGATACAATAAATTGTTAGGGTTTAGAATGAGCCTTTGAGGACACAAGTCGGCGGCCGGCGCTCGACGATCTTGCTTACTAAACGTTTTTAGCGGTGTAAATAAGTAAATATGTGTCGCATGATTATCGCAAGATCTAACGATAATCAAGTCCGTCGTGAAAAAATACTCCAATGCCGCGTTCGCTCCCCTTCCTCCGTGTTACACTTTACTTCGCCTGACCTGACCCTAGTTTTCGAGATTTACACGCGAGCGATACACGCATAGATAATATATTTGTAATAATTTTCTTTTCCACTTTAACCTGCGTATTCGACTCTTGTGCAGCTTACAAATGATGCTTGTAGTGCACTCGTACACGTATGTAAAAATGTAATATTTCCATGTATTTTCTTATTCAGCTTTTGTTATTCAGTTTTTATTATTTGATTGTTTTATTTCAACTCTTTATTTTCAGCTTTTTGTACACAACTTTTATACACGCGAGTCTGAGATTTACAGCAATAAAAAATAGATTAATTAAATTAAAAAGAAAAGAAATAATATGAAAGTGTAATATAAAATAATTTTTTAGAAATGAGAAAGATAGTTCTAAAAAAATTCTTATTGTTATTTTTATTGCTATGTTTTGTCTAATATATACATTACATATTAGTGTTTGAAATCAGAAAGCATGAAAGTCCATAGATAGTTATCTTTCACATAGAATATACATTTAAATTACAAAAACAGTAATATATAATAAAGAAATTGTTGAAAGTGTATTCAAACCCATCAGTAATAAATTTCCACACAAAAAATATATATATCACAATTGTAACATTTTATATTGATTATTGTTTATTCATTATAGCAAATACAGGGTAATAATAATAATTTAAAAAAAGCAAAAACATAAAGTGTATAACAATTTTGCAAACTTAGCTATCTATAGAAATAGCATCTGAAAATTTTATGAATGTTTCATAGAATGTGATATTAGATGATTAGATTAGATGTGTTATCTCTGGTAAGCCTAAGATGACTTTCACCATATTCCAATTAAATTAATCCATGATCAACAAGCAGAGAGAATTGCCAACAGTAATTTCTAGCTATGTAATATTTTGCTTTACAAAAATAAAAACAAAAGGTGATATTGTGTGTATTTAGTAAAATAAGATAAGAAATACTTGAATGACAGTAATTTAATAACAAAAAATTTTATTTTCCATATTGGCAACTCGACAGATTATAATAATCAATCGTCGATTAATTTTATTAGAATTTGACAAAAGTCACCCTCATACAAGCTCCGGAAAACACATATTTCCCAATAATCGATTATACACAAGATCGATTAATCGACAAGACTTTTGATTCGTGCATCAATTATTGAGATCGCCGATAATTCGATTATCTTTCAATTTTACAATTTGCAAATATTTATGAATTTGCGGTAACTTCGTAGATATTCAAATTAAATAATTTCGAGTATCTCAAAAAATTTTCAGTTTCAAATGTAATATCAGAACTTGATATTTTAAACATACGTACCGTTTTTAGACGTGCGCGCGAGTATAAATGCAGATACGTATAAATACACGTATAAGATGTGTATGCACCTACAAATGCAAATTCATGCGCGCTTGCAACATTGATTGGCATTTCTATCGCGAGGGTGAAGCCTTAATTTGAATTAAAAGTACGCGCTGTAATTAATTGAAACGCGCGGGCACGAAGTTGCTTAGCGCTCGAGCTAACGAAATCGATCGTTAAAAGAGGAACGTACAATATAACACGCACGATCATGTGTGGCTTACGTGATTTGTAACTAAGATTGGACGTCGAAATGAGATCGAAACTAGATTTTTTTTAACACGCTCTCTCTGTCGATATTTGTTACTTTTACATTAATTTTTATGCACTGCAGAAGTTGCGTTTTAAATTTACAAGTTTCTGTGTCAACCTACTCCCCACACTTGATAAAAAATCTAAAAATCTTCAATTCTTACTATTTGTATTTAAATATAAAATGTAACACACACAATTAATTTATCGTTGCGGTATTTTTAATGGCTTTTTGATTGATTAATTTTTTGTAGGATTTTTTGTTTCATGAAATGTTTACTTCAAACGCATTTTTAGATCTAAAATCAAAATACGTCCATAACTTGTAAAATATAATATAGTTTTTATTTTCTTAAACAACGGACAGTTAATTCGTCGACTTTTTTTATAGAATTTTATTGACAATCGTATTCATAATTTAAAATAGCCACCGTTTCAGATATAGCACAATGTCCCAAAGAAAGAATACCAATGCAGCAGGGAAGCTGAAAGGAAAGCGTTCGAAAGAGCTCATGTCCTCCTCTAGTCTTTCCGGTATGTCGCAATTATCCAACAGCAGTGAAGAGACATTGGAGGCTTTTGTACACAAACCCCATAAATCTGATAATTTAGAAAAGTGAGTCATCTGAACGGATTCTAACACTAAATCGTTTAACAAAGCGCGACATCATCGCGTTAAAAGCCGTGCTTCGAAGTCGCGTAACATGTAATACTTTGTACTTTGAATATCCATTTGCAGCACAACGAATACACGAAATGCACAAAACAACGAATGGTTAATAAATGGACCAAATTTAAGCAAAGCGCCTCTTTTACGCTTTAAGTAAGTTCATGATCATTTTGATCATTTTTCACTATATATTTAAGGAACTGTACATGATTCATTCGTTCTTTACAGATGTTCCGCTTTAGCTACGCCACCAGAAGAGCCACCCGCTAAGCAGCTACATATGACCTACAAGATCTTTCAAACAGACACCAAGCTCATCAATCTTTTGCTACAATCGCACGGCTTAGTAGAGGTGAGTCTTTTTCAAGGCCATATTAATTATTTCTTACAAAAAATCGGAAGCAATTATACCACTGATTGATCTGACGAGCGTCGCGATAATACGTGCACGTGACGTAGCGCGAGACTAACCACTTGGCCAAGTTTGAACTCGTTACGTTTGTTAACAGTAACATGAAAAACAATCTTGGGAACTTGCAAGTGTCTACATTGTTCCACTGTCTTACGTAGAAAGAAAAAGACGATCTGACAGAGAACAGTGCTTCTTTAACTTCGATGAAATCGAATATTGCGAGCTGGACTCGTTTACAATTGATTATAATCAATTATTATATCAAGTCGATATGGGAATATAACTAATCTCAATTGTGTCACGATCTATGAGTATTAGGACGCGATTATTTCGACGATGAAGAGTCAGATTGTTATGTCATTTGGATACAGTTATTCCAGTTCCAATGTGGGTCGGAACACAAATCCACGTTCAAGTTTGCACGTGCAATAGTTATTACAACACTCTCATAATCCAAAACCCAATTTGCCAAGTTGCCGATCTGCCTCAGTCGTTTGTAGCTGTTGATCATATTTAGCACAGTGATCGCTGATACTTTGCTCGCCTCGTGAATATAGAAACACGTCAAATTTGACAAAGTGCCGTCGTTTGATTTTTCATTGTTATTGGACTTGATAGGCGACCCTAATAATTTTGCAAAGTGTTGGTTCGTTAAATCGAAACAACTGTGAACGTGCAGCACTGTTAGTTCCGGAACCAATGAGAAAACTTTTGTAATTGTTAACGCATCCACTGTGTGTCCGAGTTCAATTTTTCTCAAATACCTGAGAGGAGGAGGATCATGTCCTTCTGTCCAGGTAACTTTCGCCCCATTGTTGACGAGAGTATGTAAGTTGGGACAACTGCTCAGAATTTCCTTCAAGTCCATCTGCAAAGGCGTTTCCTTCTCTGCCGTTATCCAAAGGCTAAGTTCGCGTAAATTTTGACCATGTACTCGAAGATAATTGTACAAGTTCTCTAACCATTCTTTCGTCGCCGATATGTTGTGCATGCTCAACGAAGTAAGGTGAGGAAAGACACGCAATGCCTCGGGATAATGCCAAGGTTCGGCAATAGATAACTTTCTTATCTTTGGACACAATTGTGCTAAAAGTTTTAGCTGTACGGGCGTCGTCTCGCAACTGATCGCTTCAGTTAGACTCAGTGACAATCGACCTATGTCTACAGTCTCCACTATATGACCTATGTACTTATATTCCGCTAAGGACTCGAGTTGTGTAATATTTAACAGAGCGAGCGACACACCGGCCTCGGTGACACAAGTATCGGCGACGTTCAGCACTCTTAGCGTATGGCACAGCGGATTTTTGCTCTCATAATACTCCAACAGTATATTTTGTTTTTTCTTCTTCTCTGATTTTGAGTTGTTTATTCCCCATGTAGCGAGTAGTCTCTTGAGTCGCGACCAGCTGGTGCACTCTCGTGCCGGCACGGAGAGCATCTTATCTCTGAACTCCACGTGCAGAAGCAATTGCTTCAATCCTATATCCGTTACTTCTCTCGAGCAAGCCACGTCCAGGACCACGAGCTTTGGACAAGTCTTGCCTATAACTCGAAGCATAGCGTCATTGGCGATATTACGAAGTGTCAAAGTCGTCAGGTTTTTCATGTTCGACAATGCCGTACGCAATAAATTGCAGTCCATGCGAAGCAGGGAGTAGCGAAACAAGTGCAACGACTCTAGTCCAGTTCCTTCCGAAGCGAGTAACTCCAATAGTGACGTTTGGTAGCTGCATCCGTAATAGCAGCAGAGTTGGACCTTCAGTCGTTTTATGTCACGATCAAGAAGGAGAGACAGTAGAAATAGTATCGCGGGTTCGGAAACTACATGAGGCTCGTATGGTACCGGCAGGCACAGCATCCTTGAAGTCTCCTCGATCACTCGGGAGCGCAAACGAGTCGGCAGTGCGTTCACATAGTACGGTCTGATCAGCCGTTTTGCAAAGGCTAGTGCTTGCGTCGCGGTGGATCGTTGCGAAAGCGACTGCAAGCGTCGGCACGTCCCGTCGAGTTGCTCGCACACACGTCCCAAACTAAGCACCACTAAGGAGTTAGGCTGACGGTGAGCGGGCATTTTGCCTTGTTCGCTGAAAAGATGTTTAAATATTCATTAAACTCTCGTTAGATATCTATTACCCGTTATCTATTATTCGTTAGATATCTATAGTTCATTTGCTACGATCTAAAGTTGCCACAATATTATGCTCTGTGAAGCCCGTTTCGCACTACAGATTAGAGACTGAAGATTGCGGATTGAAGATTAGAACTTGAAAATTGTAACAAAGCAAGCCAAGACCAAAGTTTGTTGATTCGTTGAAATCTGATCTTTAATCCACAATTTTTCGTCTCCAATCCGTAGTGTGACACGGGCTTTAGCTTTCTTTTAACAAATTGCTTCAAAGTTAATGAAACTCTCATGTCATCTCTGCCTCTCTTCCTCCTGTTCTCACTCTCTCTCTCTCTCTCT